AAAAAAAAAAAAAAAAATTAAGGTAAATTGAATACATTAATAGAAAAATTGAATAAATTAGACAACCTTAGACAATTTGAGTGAGATAATGTTTTTTAAAAGAAGATTAAATGCTCATCATTTTATTATTTATAACTTAGTGAGATGTGAAAAAACTGGGTTTTTTATGTTACTCCGTGGCATTACATGGATACCTGGATATGTGGATGAATAAAAAGAAATGTTATTATTCTGATGTATTTTGCAGGTTCTTTAATTGAAGAGCACAGTTTACATTATTTAATTACCTGGTTCATTTTCACATAATTCACCAGAATAAAAATTTGGACACACGCATTTAAAATCATTAGCTGAACAAATACCGCCATTTTCACAATTTTTTTCTCCACCAACGCAAGCATCTATTTAAAAAAACAACAAGAAAGTTTAAATAAATAGAAAAAAAATCCAAACAATATAAATTGTTTTGAATTGTTTGAAATTATAAGTATAGGCAGTTCTACTATCAGTCAGAAACCAGATATCTTTTTTAACTGGTAAATTGAAAAGAAAAAAAACCCCGTATTTTTGTAATTTGCCATTAAATTTTATAAAGTACTGATTGTGTTTTCATTACACCTACCTATTACAGAAACCATAAACGAACATGTGGCCAAATTTCCATATACATCAGTGGCATTATAAGTAACAGAATGTTCACCCACTTCCCATGTACCATCGGGGGAAGCAGAAGCTTTCAATGTTACTTCTAGTCCAGAATTATCCTCTGGTTTTGGAATACGCCAATTAACGCTGTCAGGTTGATCGGTAAGAACTTTGTTTGGGCAGACAAGATTTGGTTTCTCTTTATCTGAAAAAAGACATAATTTACAACTGTCCTTACAGTTGCACAGAACAGTATACTAGCGAGGGCATGGTTCAAGACTAAGATGGGCTCTCTGGTCTGCGAAGTGCTTTCAATGTCCGTATTATGCCAAACAAGCCTAGCGTTGTTAAGTAACGATCAAAATAACGCATTCAATATGAATAATTTGTAGTCATCAGATGGTGCAGCCTTGTTAATTAGTACTAATCACATGGCTTTAATGCTCATTCAAGATGTCAATTTGTTTTTTTGTATGTGCTTAGTTTATGTGATAAAACTAAACACATTTTTATTTTCAAAATAAATCAAACACCTGTTTCTGTCGCTCTCAACTTCGTAAGTGTCAAAAGTCACTGGGAATTTTGAGTACGAGACTTCCGTAACTGTTTTCGTTCACACACAGTATTAGTCCATCTAGACCAACAACTACAAATGCTATAGCTGCGAATTTTAACGTAAAACCTATTCTAGAATCAAACTTTATTTATAAATGCTTTTAGTCAATGGCTGTGTCAGTCATTTTATAAAAGTTTACAATAGTAATATATTGTTTTTGGTCAATAAATGTTAGATAATTGAACGAGATAAATTCAATGAATGAGATGAATAAATAAAGGGAATAGATAAATATGACAAATAAGATAAATGGGGTGCATGTAATGAATGAATTGAATGAAATAATTTCGATAAATGAAACGAATGTTGTGAATCTGATAAAGTGGATGAATGGATTAATGAAATGAATGAAATACAATTTGACTAATGTTAAAGCTGTGTTGCAGCAGCTATATTTTTTTACCTTGTACACAAATTGTAAATTTGCAAGTGGCAGTATTGTCAAAGCTGTCTACAGCTGTGTATATCACAACTGTTTTGCCAATATAAAATTCGCTGCCGACTGAATGCGTTGAAGTTAGGTTAGGTGTCCCCGCATCGTCGGTCACTGTAGGTTCAGTCCATTCAGCAACAGTGTAGTTTACGCCCGCACTTGTTGAAAGATTCATATCCAATGGGCAGTTAGCTATTAGAGGAGGTTCTTTGTCTATATCTAAAAAATACAATTGTTAACTTTTGGAAGCATAATAAATTTGAATATAGGAATATTAAATAGTGTCTGTGCTGAAACTAACTATAATGAGTAAAAACAATCGTGGTTTTATTGCAGTCTTTTGAAAGGTTACATTATACCTCCTTCAACTGTGATAAAAAATGTACATGAAGCACTGTTTCCTGCTGTGTCTCTAGCAGTGTATGTTTGAGGAGATTCCAGAGTAATAGCGATCGCAGTCGGAGGCTGTCTATCAGGATCCGCCACAGGACTTGATTTGGTAAGTTCTACATTGTCTGTCGGTAAAGGAACCATCCAGTCGACCAATGCTGCTGTATTTCCAGGATCCGTTTCGACGGTAATATTGTCAGGGCACGTAATATTTGGAGCTTCTAGATCTGTTAACCAATATGGGACAACATAATTTATGTACGTTATAACTAAATTCTATAAATGGTTAAAATATATCAATAATATATAGTTATCCTTGGGATGTATACATTTCAAACTATATTAAATAAATGATAATAATAATAATAATATTATTAATAATAATAATATATTATAATATTAATATAATAATTTTATTATTTAATATTAAAATTATAATATATTAATTTAATAATAATAATAATATATTATATATATATGTATATATATATTATTATTATTATTTATTTTTATAATAATAATAATACATATATATATATATATAATGTATTATTATTATTATTATTATTATTAATATTATTATACAGCTATTTGATGCAGTAACAATCTTCAGGGGTGAGTGAATAGGAAGTTAATGTGGGTATATATATGAGGTTCAGCAGGTGTGTATGTTAATTGTTGTTACGTAGTCTTGAGTAGGAATTTATTTCTGTGTCTGCATTTTGAAAGCAGCTTTGTTCTTTTGTTTAGAGTTGATGGTTTCTTTGAATAAATGATGTGACATATCTTAATAAGGCAAAGATTGCAGCTTTTTGTTTCTATACTGTATCGTAACTTTGTCAATTATGGACCATTTGATGTTGGATTGGGTGTAATTTTGCTTCCTTTAAGTTTCCATACAAGTTTTCATAAATCAGTACCCTTCTTATGCTTCAAGGAGCTAAATGTGTGCTTATGGTTTGTATATCTGGTTTTGAAGGTGTCTCTAAGTTCGATGTAATATTTGAAGTCACCATTTGCGGTTACGGTGGCCTTGTAGATAATTGAAGATACGAACCTAAACATAGACGACCGTGTTGAAACCATCGCAGAAAAAGAAGCCTTCATCACATTAAAGGACTATAAAGAAAACTTTCAAAACAGACCAAGCTGCAGACTAATCAACCTATCAAAACCATAAATCGGTCGCATAAGCAAAACCAACCTTGATCGCGTTAACTGGAATCTGATATCCAAAACCAAACTACATCAGTGGAAAATCACTTCAGTTGTGATCAATTGCTCTAAAAGCATAAAACAGAAAGCCAGCAGCACATTCATTGCATTCGACATCTTGGAATTCTATCCTTCGAATAAAAAAAAATCGGTTAATCAACTGTATTAAACACATGCAGAAGTCTACCAGCATTACGAAGAAGAAATAAGCATAATCACGCAAGCACGTAATTCCATCCTATGACAGCAATTTTACATGGAAAACGACATATTCAACGTCACCATGGGCAGTTTCGAGGGGGCGGAAGTATGTGAAGTAGTCTAGATTTTCATTCTGTCGTCCTTGCAAAAAAACTGGGCAAAAACAGCATCGGTCTATAACGGACGACGGCCTCGCAATCAGGAAGAGCACATCCCCAAGTCAGTTCGAAAAGATAAAAAAAGGAACTAACATCCATCAAACTTACTAAACTCCCAACTATTACACTGGATCTACAACACGATACTTACCAGCCGTTTACCAAGCTGTTTCCAGAACAAAATGAGTTTAAACCAGCGCCTGGAAACAACTAGCCTCAATAAAAACGAAACATCACCAAATAATAGTAGTACTCTTTTTGACCTCCATGATGTGGAGTCTGAAAATAGATATAGTGTACTTGGAGACCTAAGCTTAAGCTCACAATTATCTCTCGATCTTGGACATCCTAAAGCAGCTTCCTCTCCAACTAAGCCTAAACCAAGACCAGCCATTGGGCCCCGTCCATTACGGATTGTTAATGTAAATTGTCAATCCTTAATTAACAAAAAAAGCTGCATTCTATAACCTAATCGACAAACCCGATATTATTATTGCAACCGAAACCTGGTTTAACAAAATATTGGCGATGCCGAGTATTTCAGTTCTCAATACAGAGTGTACAGAAAAGGTAGAAACTCTACAGGTGGTGGTGTACTAGTAGCTGTTAATAGTGACTCCATTAGTGTTAGAGAAGAAACCCTCGAAAAAAACTATTCGGAGTCAGTTTGGGTTAAAATCAGTATTACAGGATGCAATACCTTATATGTTGCTGGCTATTATCGTGCTAATTTTAAAGACGAAATCGCTCTTGATGATCTAGATGACGCATTATCTAAGATTTCGAAGAGTCAATAACCTCATAATGGTTGGAGGTGATTTCAACTTACCAGGATGGGATTGGGCAACTGAGACACTTAAGCCAAAAACTCCTTACCTGAACCTTCACAACAATAGGACTTTAATCGTTGAAAAGCTACAGGGTAGCCTACGATGTTCCATCATGTCCTTATTAAACACTGTATATGTACCTTTGATGATTAGAGCTGAGGGGAAACTCTTGACAGATGCTAAACAAAAAGCGGATGCTCTTAACCATCAATTTCAGTCAGCCTTTACTAGGAAAACCATTTTTAAAACTAATCAACCTCCACACCAATTTCTAAATATGCCTGACATAGATGTCTCAACCTCTAGCGCACTCAAATTACTTAAAATTCTGGACCCAAGCAAGGCTTCAGGCCAGACAACATCAGCCCAAGAGTTCTTAAGGAATTGAGTGATGTCCTCGCAAATCCTCTAACCATAATATTTAGGAAGTCACTTCGTGGTGCCAGTGTACCACAGGACTGGAAAAAGCAAACGTCACCCCAATTGTTTAAAAAAGGTCAAAAATACAATCATGTAAACTACCGTCCAATCAGTCTTACCTGCATAGCTTCTAAAATCATGGAGCATATTATCTACAGTAACATAATAACCAATGGGCTCCAGCACGGTTTCCGCAGTAAAAGATCCTGTGAAACTCAGCTTCTGGAATTCATACATGACAATGTTACCAACATGCAAGATGGGTACCAATCAGATGTATGCCTAATCGATTTTTCAAAAGCCTTTGACAAGGTCGTCATCTTAGACTTGTTGAAAAGCTTCGTTGGTATGGAATCAATGGTCAAACTAACAATTGGATTAAAAACATCCTCAGCGGCAGGACCCAACCAATCAGTAGTGATTGACGGTGTTTTCTCCAGCAGCGTTCTGGATACATCTGGTGTACCACAAGGACCATGTCTCTTCCTCTACTTCATCAATGACATTGCAGAAATCCCACCATCCCGTACACGTTTATTTGCTGATGATACCTTAATTTACATGACGGTAAGCAGCGAAGGGGACACCAAGCTGATGCAGAAATATCTAGATACTTTACCACTGTGGGAGAAAACTGGATGATGGAGTTCCACCCAGAAAAATGCCAAGTTATTAGTATCACAAGAAAGAAAAATATCACATATTATCCATATACTTTCCACGGTCATCAACTTTCTCATGTAGATCATGCCAAGTACCTAGGAATAACAATTACAAAAGATCTCAGATGGAACAAGCACATAGACAGCACCACAGTCAAAGCAAACAATACACTAAATCTCCTCAGACGTAACATAAATATTAATAACCAAAAAGTAAAAGAACAAGCTTACAAGTCACTTGTCCAACCAATTTTGGAATACGGAAGTGTTGTTTGGGATCCTCACACAGACGTTCTTAAAAGAAAAAAATAGAAAAGATTCAACGCCGTGCTGCTAGGTTCACCCTTAACAGATATGAACGTACAGCTAGTGTCAATGCCATGATCCACGAACTATCATGGAAAACTCTGGCTGAAAGGCGCCAACTTGCAAGTGTACAGCTAGTGTCAATGCCATGATCCACGAACTATCATGGAAAACTCTGGCTGAAAGGCGCCAACTTGCAAGATTAGCAATGTTCTATAAAATCCACAATAATCTTGTTGCAATTGATATGAGCAAATACTTAATCTCAAAATATTATACAGCTCCATCTCGCACAGAAAACAGTCAGGCATATAGTATTCCTCACTCAAGTCGGGACTATTACAAGATGTCATTCTTTCCTCGGACATCTAGGAAATGGAACATAATTGCAGAATCTACTGGCAAAGCACCAACTATTGAAGTTTTTAAGGGACCCTTGGAAAAAATTAATCTTACTCGCACCACCACATACCACCAAAGTGCTATAGCCTTTAAAATTGAAGTTTGCACTAATCTAAAAGAAAAAGTACAACAAACCCTCCATCCAACAAACGTGTGAAAACCAACATCGGCTGCAGGTCCTCCCTGAAATTAGTTAAAAAACACTTTCCTGTAGGCAGCAAACTTCACAAGGTATTCAACGAAAATAATTTCAATCTTTTAACAACATGGGGAAAATCATCCAGTCCCACAGCAGCAGAATGCACCAAACCTCAAGAACCATCTAATACACGCAACTACCGAAAGAAAGATGAATGCCACCTATCAGGAAACTGTCTCGCATCTTAAGTTACCTAAAAGGCCACCGTGACCACAAATGATATAGGTCTTTTTTTAATTGTATATACTTTTTAATTGTAATTGTAATTGTAGTTTTTAAATTTGCATTATAATATGAGGGAAATAATAGAGCAGACATAAATAAATAAATAAATAAATACATGTGATAGTGTTCCTTTTCTTTTGACTTTACCTTTAACCGTGATGACAAATTCACACACAGCGTTATTATTGTAAATATCGTATGCCACATAGACTACAGTGTAAGACGAAACATTGTATATATCGTTTGGATAATAGTTCTGGACTGTCCTATTTATACCATTCTTGTCAATAGGAACTGGCTCATCCCACGAAACAACTGCTGTCGCTAATCCTGGATCTGTCCCCACAGTGAACGAATCAGTACAATTTTCAAAATAGGGAGATTCCAAATCTAAATAGTAATACAATCATAAGAGTGACTCAATATCTGTTTTGATTTATTTTTAAAAATACATAAGCGACACACACATTATATATATATATATATCTTTATTAATATATCACACACACACACACACACACCCACACACACACACACACACACACACACACCAATATTTCGACCTATCCTTGGGTGTTTATCTTGTCATTAAACACCTTTACGATATAACGTCCACATTCTTGATTCATAGTTATTATCAGAATTTACCAAATGTGTCATTATTTTGTTAATGTTATTATTTTTGTTTTTGTTATCTTAATGTGTTTATTTTCGGATCTTAGCACAATTGTATTATTTCATTTTGTACCTTTAACTGTGACAGTGAATATACACGATTGATCTGCGTTGCCATAAACATCGACTGCAGTGTACATTATGACAAACGTGCCGATACCAAATTCATCCCCACTCTGCCGTGGGTCTGAAGTAAGTGTCACCGGTTCCCCGGAATTGTCGAACACTTCAGGTGCCGTCCAGTTGACTATAGCGGTTGAGCTATCATTTCCAAGCATTATGATAGTGTCATTTATACAATTAACTATAGGTGATACATTATCTACAATAAAAAAAAATTGAAGAAACTTTTTAACTACATTGGATCATTTTGCTCCCTTGCCTGACTCACCTCAGATAACTGTATCTAAATTTTAAATAAAACACAAAATGGTAATATATTATTTAAAAAAATGATTTGTGTTTACCGGATTTTTTTTATTGGGCTCGATTTCATAAATATATAAAAAAAATGTTCTGTCATTATATTTCATATAATTCATTGATAGTATTGTTAAACTCTATAATAATAATCACCAGAAATCGACGAACGCGTCACTAGAGTGTTGCTAAAAGCACCTAAAAAGACTACAAAACATGTAACCCTGGAAAAAAAAGGGGGAAAAGGCAAAAATCTAAAAATTTGAAGAAAAGAAAAGAAAAGAAGTAGCAGCTTGAAAATGTACCGACAGGCAAATAACATAATTCGGTACAGTAGAAAATCCAACACGAATTGATGATAAAGAAAAGAAATAACACCGAATTCATCAAAGAAAGATAGAGTTATCTCTTCTCTTAGCGACGGTAAACTTATGTAAATGCACTTCAAATCAAATATTTTTTATAGCTGTAAAATGTGAATGTCAAAATCGTAACGTCCAAATAAAGAAATGGGCAACGAAGGGCGAAACATTGAATTGTAACTCACAATAAATGAAGTTGAAATGTCAATCTGGAATATTATGCACCAAATTCACAGACAGAAAAAAATAGAGGGTTTTTTTTCGTAAATTTGATAACCAAATTAAAATACGTGATTGGTCCGAAAACGTTATTATAGGCGGTGATGCTAACATACTTTTTGATTCAAAGTTTTACAAAGAGGGCGGGAAACGACACAATTGTCAAAGTATGCCTCACTTAACATTACTCTGTTGCAGTCGCATTACCTTACGGATGTTTGGAAAAATAGATACAATAGCGATAAACGTTTTACATGGGAACCATATCCACTAGTTAAATTTTGATTAGACTACCTATTTAAGAGTAATAATTTTCTTAACTTTAATAATGAATGTAACATTCGACACTTACCGAAATCAGACCATGATTACGATGAGGCTTTGAATTATTGTAAGAAAATAATAAAAGGACAAGTTTATTAGAAATTAAAGGTAAGCACGCTAACTGAAAATGATTTCAGAGGAGGAATTGAACAAATTGTAAAAGAATGTGAAAGTCTAAAAAGAAACTTTGCAAAACATTATTTAATCTTAAGAGCACAAAAAAGAGAGACCGACTAGAAAGCTTTAAAAAAGTTAAATTTCTATACGTAAATTATATAAAAAATAGCAACCCTACAAAAAATAATAACGATTTAGATAAAGTTATAAAACAATTAAGAAGGGAAGATGAATAATTTCGATGGCATTTTGCGTTAGGAGAAATAATACGAAATGATGTTGTCCTACCTGACGTGCATTTGTACTGAAAAGAACAAAGTACTTTCTCAGTCTAGAGAAAGTTAACAGCGAAATTTAATAGCCTCATAAATACTGACGGTAATGAAATTACAAAAATAGGTACAATTATAGATATGCAGGTTAAATACTACAAGGATTTATATAGTTTAACAAGTGAAATAGGACCGTCGGATTTTGCATACGATCTACATGAATTTTATTTCAGATATCTATCTTCCTAAACTTTCAATTACTGATCAACAAGAGTGCGAAGGCACTTTCACTCTGACACAGAATTTAAAAATACCCTAGATCAGATGTTACATGGTAAAAACCCTGATATAGATGGACTACCAACTTTTTTTAACCATATTTATAGAGGGTTACCCTTCCAGCGTATCCAACAAGGTCGGCTGATATATAGAGGCCCTCTTTAAATAAATGCAATAATGTGATGCTTTTTCAGCGAAGTCTCTTTATGAGGCTTAGGGAGTGGAGTTGTGTTTGTCGTGAGAAAAAGTCCTGTCGTGACAGGAATTGAACCTAGGACCTTGGGATCAGAGGCAAGCACCTTAACCACTGAGCTATTCAACTCCACTCCACTACCAACCTTCTGGTCGATAATTTAAAAAAAATAAATAAACTTGTTGTCATTAGCCTTAATAAAGTAAGTACTGAATGCAAAATGCCTTACACAAAAATAAAAGAGGAATGGTTATTCTTCTGTACAAAGACAGAGGAAATCCAACGTTATTATATAATGGAGACCCATATCCATATTAAAGACGAATTATAAAATGGCCTCAAAACGATTTCTTTAGGAATTTATAAAGTAAAACAAGTATACACCATTACCCAAGGGCGGACTTAGCGGGCCGGCCCGGCCCCCCTAAGTCCTAATAAAAAGAGAAAAAAAAGGAAAAAAGAAAGGAAAAGAAAAAAATGATAGCCCACAACGCCTCAAATGTTATTTTTGGGCGTCTAGAACACAAAAATTTCGGACCCCTAGGGCATTGTTGTCTCGATCGGCCCAAATTTCTCCCCCCCCCTCTTTCGGCCCCCCCACCTTTTGGACATCTCTGGATCTGCCCCTGTTACCAGACTGGTTTTGTAAAAGGCAGGTATATTGGATGATATAATAAATATGACAAACAAAGTTGAATTATTAAGCCAGTTTTTAAACATCAACCATTTCAGCTTTAATAAAAAAAAAGGGCATCGCTGTAGGTAGCAAGTCAGCCCCATCATTACACACATTTACATGGAACAGATGGAAAAGAAGGCAAAAGCATCCGCACCAAACAACATTAACCCCACGTTCTGGCATTATTGCTGTCATCCGGAAAGACACCATCACACCCCTTGGAAACCATCCATTGGTCCATCAGAAACCATGCAGAACAATCAATTTTTTTTCGGTGACGCCCTCATCATTCTTTAAAATGATGGCTCACTACAAGCTAAAGTCTATAAAAAAACCTACTCATACCAACCAATACTTCAATTCACACCATCCACTAGAACACAAACTAAGTGTAATTAATACACTAGTTGACAGATGTAAGAGTATTGTCTCAACAAAAGAACAAAAACTAGAAATGAAGAACATCAAGAAAACTGCTCCAATTACCCGAAGTGGGCATTAGACAGAGTTTGAAAGATCAGGCAAGGCCACTTGAGACGACCAGTAGATTGCGCATGCCTACTTCGACCTTTACAACACCGAGGTGACATCAGACCAAGCTGGAACTAACTAACATCAACAGTCTACCTGAAGAAGTGAATGAAACATTCACGAAACGTATTATGTGAGAAACATTTATTGTGATCAACAAAAACGAAATATATTATGAAGTTAATGATAATGTAAAGATGCAAGATACAGGTGAAATTTACTGTTAACATAAATTAAATTATGGTGCTACGAGTCTTAAAAAATCAACTGTAAGTGCTAAGTGAAATAAACTATATTTTAATGAGATATATTCTGAAATTCTTATTTAATATTATTGTTTGATGTATTTAAAATGATATTTGAGTAGCATATTGTAGGTGAGTTAAATATTACATAATTAAATTAAACTGTTGTAACATATTATTTTTACAAATGTTCTTTAAGGACCTTACACAAAACAAATTGTTCTGCTTGCCCTCTTTACAATTTTCATCAGATAATTTTACATTTGGCATTGCTATTGCAACACTTTTGGAAGGGAACCGTTTCATTAGGAAACGATTGTCAGTAGCGCGCGGTGAATGTGCATATTTGGAAGGAGACAGTGGCTGCAGGGTCAGTCGAAGTAGACCGAGTGCGAAGTGTAATCATGGTGACGGCCTGTTGATGGGTAGCGATAATGAATGTAAATTTAGCTGAGTATGAGAGCATGAGAAGCTAGAAATCTAGCCAAAGAAGTAAGAATATTTAATTAAAGATGATTAGGGTTTAATCTTGGTTTAGGTTTAAGTTTATAAAATAAGGCTTGGATTACGGTAAAGGATCATAATGGATTACTGCGTATCATGGATAGGTATAATTTAAGTGTTTAGGCCTATAGTGATCGCTAACAGTTAAGCTTTGATTATTTATAGTGAGTAGACCTAGTTGTGTTTCTGCAGTTCATAGAACAATCGTATTTGGGTTAGGTAGGCAACAATAACATTCAGTTTAATCAGTTGATATGGTGATAGCAGCCATGTTGTGTCGCATGTGTTGTTGGCGGCGATAGTTAAATAGTCGTATGATGAAGGTTGAAGTTGGTGGCGCTATTTAATTTACTTAAAGGACGGTAGTTTTTAGTTTTTATAACGCTTGTCATTGTGATATTCTTCTGGTTGTTTTTACAGATTGAATAAAACAAGCAATTTTTACAGTTGCATTATACATTAAGCAGGAAGTTTCTAGACTGTTCGTTTTCCGAGTTTCTCTGACAAACCAGAAACTATAAAAATATATTAAATCTGGATCATTCAGGAATCACTAATGCAAATTATACTATAACGTTAATTAAGGAAATTTTGAATTTGTAAAACATATAACTTTCTGCCAAAAGTGCTCCAAATTATCCTACTAATGCTGTATTTCGTAAAGTATGCCTGGTCGTCGCACGACAACAAATGAATGGGGATGATGCTTCTGCGTGGGCGAAGTCACGTGCGGATGGTTTATATTTTTGTCTCTAAGGATTTTCTTAAAGGAACAGTAGTAGCTAGTCGGTTTATCCAGACAATTGTTCACGAAATAGAATATCCTACTAATGATGTATGCTCAAAAGAGATTACTTACCTATAATTGTTAAATTAAAAAAACACGTAGTGTTGACGTTTCCTGACCCGTCTGTTGCGTTGACAAGCACAGTATGATCTCCAATAACCAACAAATCTTCTTCCTGAATACTTGTGGTGATATTTGGAGGTACGCCAGAGTTATCTGTTGCGGTAGGAGATTGCCAGGCAGCAGCAGCAGTATTTGTTTGACTGACTGTAGATATCTTTATATCAGGAGGGCAAAATTCTATTATCGGCGCCTCATTATCTAGGAAAAAATGTATTTTACATAGTATACTAGTGGTAAAATTAATGATGGAGATAATCGCCTAGCAATTGTGACATATGGGTGCTAGTGGCATGTTTTTCTGTGAGTACATACGTGTGAGGACATACATGAAAACATGACGTGTACACAACAAGTTAAGATAATTATTTTAGGTGCGTAGAATAGAATATTGCTCAGGTGGTGTTGTTAATGGGCAGTAACCAATTACCAAACTAAAATACTAGTATTATTTACTGCATTAAAAATTATAACATTTTGGCCAGTTTATGTGCTTTGTAGTCAAACAAGAATAAACATAATACAATTCTGGAATCAGACGCAAACGAAAGAATATAGACGGTGTGAATTTAGTTTACTTTATCTGTGTATTCAATTCAACACAGCTCGTTCACATAAATTTATATGGCATAGTGTCTGATTCCAGACTTATTTAGAATATGGGCGCTAACTCAAATTCATACTCAAATGAAGTTAACACCCAATAGGAGTAGCACTCAATCCTGAAATCATCGCTTGAGCGCCAAAGACGGAAATTTCCGTCTTTTGAGTGTCTTTTTTTTTAAATTAAATTGATGGACCTATTGCTGTCCACGTGTAAAAAATTTGAGCTGAAATGGATGTCTGAACCACCAGAAATCGTTATTTGAAATCACCCACCTACCCCAGGCATTGGTGAAAAGGATTCCTTTCATTCGCGTCATGGCTACATTCACAGTGGACGAAGTTATTGCCGAATTTTTTGCAGATTCAGACTCTGAAAACGACTTAATTGATAATATAAGTAGGAATAGTATATTTATAAATATTTTATAATGTTTAGAGGCCAAATAATGCTTTTTAGGCTAAGCTAGTCTAGGGCCAGTGCTAGAAAGTACCAACCAAGATCCCAGGTAAAATCGTAGGCCTAGCCTAGGCGGCCTAGGCCTAGGCCTTTTTGGCTGTACAATCGTGTAGACCTGGGATAGTAGGCCTAGGTTTGTTGAAGGGGGCATAAGCCTAGCCTAGCTATGATTGATCTAATATCTGTTTATAAACATTATTATTATTATTATTATTATTATTATTATTATTATTATTATTATTATTATTATTATTACTATTATTATTATTATTGATATTGTTTGTACCGCATATTTTATTACATCTATTTACAAAAACCTCATTATCTCAGCTTTTTGTCCCATTTGAGCTAAATTTACGAAAAGTAGTCATATTTCCTATCAATTTTTGTACATATTACAGTATTCAATGAATAAAACAAATGGTATCATTTTGAGGTACTTGTATTCTTCTTTCTTTTGGTATATAACACATCTGGTTTGAATTAGGTAATTGTTCTCAGGGTCAGTTTGAAATACATTAAAATCTGCTAAAAACTCTGGTTTCCCAGTGGATCACTGTAAAAAACATCTGGCGCTCAAAGTGTTAATCATAATGATACACAATATTTAGTAGCAAAATGCGGTGGGCTGTTGTTGTTGCTTAATATTTACAAGGCAGTCAATAAGATATTTTCGGAACCCTTATTTAAATTCTAAATTGTCTTCAAATGCAATAACTAACACACTACCTCTATATACTATTTTTTTTTTTTTATAGTGATCTGGAAATTGCCTTGCCTAACACTAATTATTAGGATCTACATGCAATCCGAAAACTGGTGTTACGAAGTGCCATCAAAAACCGTCTAAAAGAACCTAAAAATCTGTTAATAGAAACGTGGATGGGGACGATTTTCGAAATGTGCAAAAATACATGAGGGAAAGTTAAAAAGGCTAACAAAGAACACGGTGTTGTCATTCATGGCTGGTGAAGCAATTACCAATCTCTTCTCTCTGCTTCTTTCAAAGGAAGAAGATGACGTGCAGAAACTGGGTCTCACGCATTTAGAATCAAGTCATTTACACATGTTTTGATATGGTTCATCGATGCATGCTGAACAATATATCTGATCCAAATTTAAAAAGAAATTTAAAATCTAGCCTATCGCATATAGCACACCAGTATGTAGCTTCCTATCGACCAACATATAGTTACTTCAAGCAACTTAGGATACTAAAAGCTTTAAGGAAGAACAGTCGCTTAGTCATCAGATAAGGGTATACAAGGGTAGTGGAATGATGGTACTTAAAAATTATTAGCAATATCCAAATATTTATAAGGCGCCAATTTCAAATTGAACGATGAAAGGCTCGAGCGTTATTACCCCTGGTCACTAGATAACATATAAACCACTACAACGTTCTCTGCTCCCTGGGAAGTATCCCTAGTCGTTCGCTACTTCTTTAGCGCACGAAACTTGAAATTAGTTGAATATATCACATCCTACTATGATCCTAAAGAGTCTGCAAGGATTTACGGGCTTTCAAAGTTGCATAAAATCAGATATAATTTTTTTATTCTCAAATTTCGCCCTATTATCTCATCCATAGGTACTTATAATTACAACTTTTGCTACCTAAAACATTTGTAGCCACAGACACGAATACTGCATTTATTGTTTCATTTGATTTAGAAAATCCCCTTCTATTGAGTTAGCAATTGAGTATTGTGAATGATGGTAATGATGGCAAAGAAGGAACTTAAAAGAATTATTTATTTTTCCTACGGCCCAGACGCATTAATGTTTATGACATGGGTTCGAGTCCCACCCGAGAATAACTTGCGATTTTTTTCGCAGTTGTTTTCAAATGTACTGAGTTTTCGGTACATTTCCACGTCAGGTAGGGCAAAATTACATATACATGTTTCTCCTGACGCAAATCCAGTTATTGTCTATTATTCCATCACGACAATAACAATTACTATCAAGACTGCAGTACCCGCTGCTTACTTGGACTCGAATTCAACCCTGGCCATCAGGTGCAAGCTCGATGGTCTAGAAGGTATGATGCCAGGCTAGTGATCTGGAGATCGTGGGTTCGAGTCCCACCCGAGAACAACTTGCGATTTTTTCGCAGTTGTTTTCAAATGTACTGAGTATTCGGTACATTTCCACGTCAGGTAGGGCAAAATTACACCCATACATGTTTCTCCTGACGCAAATCCAGTTGTCTATTATTCCATCACGACAATAACAATTACTATCAATGTTTATGACCAAATGTCTATTATGAAACCACCGTATATAGTTACCATTATTCACAATCAATTCTTGATGGGGTATCAATGGGCTCCTCACTAGCTCCGATCCTAGTCACAGCATAAACAATAGTGGTCAGACAACACCACATCGCAGCCTATGTAAGTTTCTGATCCTTCTACAATCTGCCCTTGGCAGCGCAGGAAATAGGCGGTGCCTGAATGAACTGCTTAAAGTGGTCCTCGGGGGCGCGCCAGGAAGGCACCCGTAAGACGCTGCGCAGCAACCAGCTCAGGCTTTGCTTGAGAGTCCAACTGAAGAATGCTGAATACTAGTTACGAATGGCTGGCATCGCCAGGGCAACGAGCTGAATCGGATCAGAACCGAGGACTAAATTCTCAGCTTCTGATGAATCCAAATGCTCGGACGAGTCTTCCATAGAATAATCGAACCCTTCAGCCGACGCTATATTCAACCCTGCGAAAAACCTCCCTAGAAACACTGCCCACCTGCACGAAGATTAAGCAGAGAAAGCGGACCAGAGAGAGACGAGCAGCGTGACCACTCACAATTGTTTATATACCCAATGAATTGGTCAAAATTACCCAAGATTCAGCAAAAATTCCTCAAATTTATCCAAGCTTCCTGGAAATGCATTAAAATTTGAAAAATACGTGATTTTCGCATGTATAGTTTCCCTTTTAGTTCAATTTATAAACTATTTTTTATTGTAATAATTGTTTGTGTTAATTAATAAAATTAATATTCATGAGGTGATAATACGGATAGAAAAATACGCCCTCAGTCGGCCAGTGTTATATGTAGATCAGTGATCAAGTTGTATTATGTAATGCATTAATTAGGTAAGATCAACGCAGATCACAAATAAGCAATTCTGAACCTATGTCTATAGCAATTAACAGTCAATTAACAATGTTATGTGCACTTCTTTAAGTTTTGCTTATTTGAATGGACTGAAATATACTTTGCTACTTCTTAATTCTTTCTCCATGAAAAATATATTTAATTTTCTTTGTAAAAATAAAATACCCAAGGATTTGAATAGAATACCCCAGAGCCCAAGACCAAGTCAAAATACCCAAGATCTTGGGTAAATACCCAAGCAGTGGTCACGCTAGAGACGAGGGTGCTAGACCGACGGATCCTCCAACAGCAGAGGAGAAACATACGTCTCTACATTCCCCAACACTGCCGAATTCAGAGCCTCCACAAACTTAGTTGGGGGGAGGGGGAATTGCCTTATCTTGCAATGTTCCACCTTGCTACACGTACGACACAAAGGATGTGTCGTAACAAAAATATTATTGATATACAAATCTGTAATTCCAACGAATAAAATATTGTATTATTTTAACACTATTTAATTAATTTGTTACTATTAATTTTGCTTCACAATTATATATTTTATGGAATTTAATGTATTTTTGTTTTGTATTTATATTGGAATATTTTTCTCCTAAGGGAGGTGAATAAATTGAAAAGAATTGCATTGAATTTATCCAGGTTAATATTCACAAAATAGACTACGTTTCGTTTGGGTCTATACCCTAGCTGCACTGATGAGGCCTGGAAGGCCGACACGGATCTGCTGCAGATATTGGGATTCTTTCCGTGGATGCTTAGTTTATTTTGTCATTCTGATCGGATTTTCTCTACTGTTCCGTTTTAATTATATATATATATATATACACATCTAGATGTGTATAAGAGACAGATATATATATATATATATATATATATCATCAAAGAAAGGTAGATACAGTGTTCGAATAAAGGAGATGAAGGTACATCGTGTAGCATAGCTCTCCACGAATGTTGTCTTACAAATAAATAAATACATTATGTAATAAAATTAACAATTGACGTGTTACTCAAA